AGAGGGGGCTGCTGCTCAGAGTGGAGGGTCTGAAACGCGCTGCTGTGCCACTTAATAATGAAATCAAGTGCCCTGCCAGGCCGCGGTGACAAAGATTCCTGTCACTTCTGGGAGTTTATATGTAAAATGTGTGTGTGTGTGTGTGTGCGCGCACAGAGAAACAATTTATCATTTGTGGTGTTTTTCGGTGCCTCTCAAAAAACCTGGAAACAGATTGGGTTGTTTTTTCATGCTTACTTATTCACACGTGGCTATTAGCTGAAATGCCTTCTGCTTGAAGAACCACTCTCTTCTCCACCTTCTGCTATAAAATAAAAAAATAAACAATAAACGATGGCCACAGTCTAACTATCACTTTCTTACACGCGCTCCGATGGTTAGGAATTAAAATGAGATCACTCACAGATGGACAATTCCCTGCAGATGTCCTACCCTCCACTCATCTTCTGCTTAGTAATTCTTGGCCAAGACTTCTGTAAAAAACTAAAAGAAGTTCATCAAGCAGCGAAGCTCCTGCTGTTATTACTATTGCTACTATTATTATTAATATTACACACTTTCACTTTTTTGTTGATATGTGGATCCTGACTGATAAAGAAGTTCAGTCTAGAAACTGATTTGATCTTCATATTAATATATCAGCTGTATTATTTGTATCAAGGATGCAACAAACTTTTTTCAATTATTGTGTAATCTGTACATTTTGTTTAAACTGTAAAAATAACACATTTTTCCATAACCCCGATTCTGAGACGACAAATCCAAATAGCTTCCTTTTGATTTATGTTAATTTTACTGAAGAAGAAGAAGGAAACAGATCCTGAACACATTCACAAGGCTGGAAACAACAAATGTCTGCAACTTTTTCCCCAAAAATGTATCAAAATAACTTGTCAATCACAAGAAATAGCAACAACCCTTTCAATTGAGTTACTAAAGAACTGTGACCAAAAGGTACTACTCAGGACACCTTCAAGCTGTGGACAGACAAATAGAATCAACGTCATAGGGACACTGTTCCCTTGTTAGCCAAAACATTTTTTCTACCTGCTTTAATCATAAGTCATGAAAGCGGATGCATTTGTGAGCATTTCTCTCTACATGTTATTCATCATATCGTTGTTCTACACGGTTATTCGAAATGTTCTGTATCCTTCGCAGTATGTGGCCACAGATGAAAAGAAATTGGAGTAGAAATGTGTAAGTAGCTATCACGCTGGAAGGTTATTGACTTCACACTAAACCTGAATAAAACATGAAAAGCAAGATTAAACTGTGTTTATTCCAAAGGAAATGTTGTGCATTTTCAGTGTAAAGATTAGCAGTATTTAATCCAGATGATGCAGACAGCCGTGTTTTTCTTAAAGAACTGAACAATGAATCCACTCACATCTGAACTCTATAAACCTGCATTATCATGTTTTTATGAATTTCTTGCCATGTGCAAGTTCTTCACAACTGAACTTTGTTAGTCAAGACTCAAATTAATTGCATATTTGGGATATGAGGCACCTAATATTACAAGTGAAATTAAAAAATACCTCACAGTGCATTATTATTCCATACAGGTCATTTTCCTGTAGAGAGGGGACAAGGGGAGGGTCCATGTAAGAAGATTACACTGTATTGCACTGAATTAATGGAATCCATCCATCCATCCATCCATTGTCAAACCGCTTATCCTGCACACAGGGTCGCGGGGGGGCTGGAGTCCATCCCAGCCAACTTCGGGCGATAGACAGGGTACATCCTGGATTGGTCGCCAGCCAATCGCAGGGCTAACACAGAGACATACAACCATTCACACTCACATTCACACATCTACGGGCAATTTAAAGTCCCCAATTAACCTGATCCCCAGAGCATGTCTTTGGACTGTGGGAGGAAGCCGGAGAACCCGGAGAGAACCCACGCAGACACGGGGAGAACATGCAGACTCCACACAGAAAGGCCACTGGGCGGAATCGAACCCAGGACCTTCTTGCTGTGAGGCGACAGTGCTAACCACCACGCCACCGTGCCGCCCTTGAATTAATGGAATATTATGAATATTTAATCTTTTCATAGGGTTGATGGAGGTATCTCTTCTTCGTTCGCAAAGGGATATTTTTATTTACTTTTATCTACGACAAATATGTGAAAAAACGAAGGACTTTTTAATCAAGAATTAAGAACAAAGAAATACATCTTTTTAAATGAATTAATTATACGTTTAAAGGAGGACGCCTGACTCCCCTTGTTATTGGCCCTGGAACCGCATTGTGGCTCCTTCCGTCTTCGCTCTGTGTCCAATATCCGAGGCTGAAATCGAGGTCACGATTCTAAACAAACACAGTCACAGTACATCTCTGTGTCGTCACGAACCACAACCAGGGAGACGCGTCAGTAACACAGCCATCTATTATTCGGGAGCACGTACTGGTGGGGGCTCTCGCGTGTTGGGGCCCCCGCCACCTATTTGTACAGCGGGGCGGACGGAGTGTGGACACAGCGCTGCGGTTTTCCCCCCCGACGTCTCAAGGTCGCGTTGCTGCGGCGACTCGTGACTCCTCACGACTCTCTAAGGAAAGAAAGAAAATCCAGTTGGAGACGAACAGGATTTCAGGTTGTCTGTGAGTGAGTGTGTGTGTGTTTGCTGTGTTGAGATGAGGTCAAAGCCGATTACTCGTCATCCTTTTAACTCGGTTTTGGTCTCATCCGACTGCTTAAAAACAAGAACATGCTGCTCAAAGTAGCTGAAAGCTCTGGAGGCCTTTTGAGCATATTTAGCAGAAAAGCGAAGTATGAGAGTGTGACTACACGACAATCACACACCACCAGGAAAAACAATGAGCCGAAAGGCACCAACGCGCTTCCTAAGCCCGAGAGGCAGCCGATAATTTGGGGTCAGTTCATCACCTCGGGCCTTTTACATCAGTCATTTGATCCATTAACATGAAAATATTGATGTTTGCAGCTTTAAATACATCCACCCAGCTACAAGGGACCGATTGGGAGAGTAAGAGCATGTATATGTGTAAAAAAATGCATCACAGATAATATTGATTGTAGCTGCTTTAAGTATTCATCAAAGAAAGAAATTAAATTACAGTATTTAAGTATATGAATTCTGCAGGTTACCTTAAGTACAATTAAATCCGCTCTTCCTCTTAACTCACAGATTTGTTCTGCTAAACCTCTTTGTTTAAACGCTCGGCCTGCAATCTGTCGGGGGGACAACAACTTTTTTTTTTTTTAAATGTTGAACACAACGGGGCACTTCTTGACATTTTGATTAAAATAATCAAGATGCTAACCCTTACATACATGCACATCTACAATGCGCACACATATGCGCGTACACAAGCATCCACATCCACACACTCACTGCATCCCCATCTGTTCCTCCCCACGTGTAAATTCTTTCACACGTTCACTTGACAAGGAGGATTGAAGGGGAGGCCTAAACAGCGAGATTATAGTACAATTAAATGATAGAAACTATAAATCCATGCTCTTCAAAGCGACTAGTTCCCCGATGTTTGTGAGCATGAGTAACCCCGACTTGGTGTGTTTTTGGGGGGCAGATTTATTTACAGGCATTGATTAACTGATCCCCGTTACTGTTTATTTTCAGATTTCAACTACCCGTTTGTTACAGATACAAGCGCAGAGTAAAAGACCTGCATCAGGGTTTCTTTTTGTGCTTCAATGAAGAGTGAAAGAAAAGCATCCCCAGCACAACGTTGACTTAATGTCGGTTCAAGGAGGAGCCTTCAATTCCGATATGATGCCGGATGGTTTGATGAAGTATTATATTCATGAGTCAAGTATGAATCTGCAACACAACCAGTAGAATTTCTCTCTGAGGAGGAAACACAGCAATACAGTTGAATTGCATATTTTGTATCTGCTTTGGGGGCCTTTTGTACATTATCTTGGGGTAAAATGATTTAAACAGTAACACATTTTAGTATTATAATAATTATTATAATAATCTGCGGCTCTTTGGGGTCCAGGAAGTTGCCTACGTTGGTAAATAGTAAAGTCTCCCCCGTTTTCTTTTTTTTTACCTTGAGTTAAAGTTACTAACATTTTCTCATGAGCATTAAACCCTTTTTAAGAACATCTGCAGCTGATGGGGATGTTAGTTTAGGAGGTATTTTATTATGAAACACATTACTGAAAATATTAAACTAACAGACCTGATCTTGACTGAGATTCATTAACTGTCAAAGTAGAAAACAGCACGGCGAACCATTCGATAGTAACCGAAATGCAACGGCTCTGCTTCTCCCACTCAGGCGTGATGAATGGTGTGAACACATCAGATACCTTAACTCCGCAATAGTAGCAACCTGTGCATTATTTTCACAGTGCAGCATTGCTGTTAATTACATCAGGTTCCAAAGGGCTGTTAAGGAATCTGAAAGGTCTGCAGTTGCTGAACCGCCGACTAATCAATTGCCATCATCACGCCGGGTGCAAAGGTCGCGACCCGAGGAACGCGCAGGAAGCCGCCATTACTGCTCACCTCTTTACACGTTTAGCAGCTGAGGATTTGAAAAATTGAAGAGTAATGCCGTGATACCCTCTTTTTGTTTGTTGACAACAACAAAACAGCGTGTGTGTGTGTGTGTGTGTGTGTGTGTGTGTCGTCCGTGAAAACGGCAAAAGAACATGAAATGAACCGGCACAATGGGGGTGAGATCCAAAACGCGATTCCATTAGGGGAGCGTGCTTCACCGCTGCAGCATCTCCACCAGTAACTTTTTTGATAAAATGTCAGTCTGTGTCTGTTGTGTCATAATATAAAAACTGATTTGAAGTACCCGCTGTTCTGTTGTTGCATAACAACAGGTTTTAGGACACAGAGAACTCAATGAGCCTTAGTGGAAACATACAGTGTCCTCAACAGATGGGAATGGGAGGATTAGGACCGTCTCTCTCCCCCTCTGACCCTCCCATTGGATGAATGGGAGGGAGGGAGGGAGCGAAGGGGGCAGAGCGGATGGGTTAGGCGAGATATCACTGCACTGACCGACATACTTCATACTTCTGGCAAACAGCTCTTTATATGAATCTGCATGAGACTTTAATTTGAGATTATTAAAGATGATTCAGACCATGGTTAAACACGCGAAGAAACATCCTGGGGTAGGTCGCATCACCTTCATGTATCTATCGAGCTCTGTGGTTATTTCTAACATCGAGCCTAAAAAGTCTGACAATTGCAAACAAAAAAGCTGCGATATTTATTTTTTGTGTTTAGTTTGGTATTTGGTTAAAATGTTTAGACATGGTTGTCATCAGTTTTGTAATCATTGAATGGCAGGAAAGCCTTACTTCTTTATCCTTGAAGAAAAAGTTCCCATGTGCAGTATATGTAGTAAATCTGGACACACAGAACACACACTAACATTACCAGTTTTACCATATCTAAGAGAGAGGAAACAACTTTACTTATGGACAAATGGAAAGCAAAAATGGAAGTAATTTGCTGATTTTAATAAAATGGGAGTATTGTCTTTTTTCTTGGTCTATAAAAAAATTGATTTTCAGTGTGTTGCTCTGTTGGTTTGGCAAAACAAACAATTCTAAGCTGTCTCTTTGAGCTCTGTGAACTTTAATGAACACTTTGCATCATTTACTGATTTTATAGACAACCAAACAAAACATTGGCAGATTCATGAAAATATAATGCAATATCAGGTGATATAACCTAATGTATTAATGTTTTGATAAAATATCCAGCGGGTGTCAGACAGCCTCTCTTTAATTCCTTCATCCACCCTCTTAAATTGGTCAGCACTGTGATCTTTCTGGATACTCAGCTGATATCAAAGTCTTTCATGTGCAATCTCCTTTTGGGCGCACAATGCACAGAGCTGGCAGCAATCACACAACTGCAGCAAAATCAGAAAACGATACATTTCCGGATGAGGAAGATGCTGCCTACGCGAACCACATGAATAGTGAATAGTGGAATATTGGTGTACAGTGTCAATATTAATATTCATATTAGAAAATAAGAGCTCAGCCAGCTCCATCAATTGAGTGAAGTCTGTGAGATGGAGCTGAAGGCTCCAAAAGCTAATAAGTGGGCTTTGAAAGCTTAGATGCTTTTGTGACATAACAATAACTGATTTGATGTAAAAACAAGCATTACGTTACATCATTGTGGATTTGTCTTCATTGTTTCTATAAAAACATGAAGGAAGAAAAAGAAAAAGAAAGACGGTGCTCTTGTTGTTTTTCCTTCTTCCTCCTGTTGCCTCGGCGCTGCGCTGACTGTGACCCAAATTCACGGATTGACGGGGTTTGTTTGCCAGCGCACCAGAAAAGTAATAAGGGCAGCAACAGTATCGAACCCCAGCGAGGGCAAAACACTTCCTATGTCGGTCAGCCTCCATGGTGGAACTAGTGTGGACTGAAAGAGAGACATCCGACCAGCGACGTCTCCCAACACACACGCCTGTCTTCATTGGTTGCTTTGTGTGTGTGTGTGTGTGTGTGTGTTGGACTGATCAAAGCTGACCTGCTTCCCCGTTTGTGTGTGTGTGCGGGTGGCTGTTTGTGTTTACTTCATCGAAGCCGAGCGTCCACAGTCAGCGTTGTGTGTTTGAATGATTGTATGTGTGTGTGTGTGTGTGTGTGTGTGTATGCAGTGACAACGTGTTGTGCACAATAAGTCTTTTTTCGTCCAGAGTTAACTTGGGGAAGCTGAGAAGCTTACAATAAGCCAGAGGAATTCAGCAGACATCACACTGTTACTCAGGCTTTGCACCCGTGCAGTCGAGTCGTGGCTCGTTTGGAAGTTTCCACATAACCGCCGATCAAATGTTAGATGGACTTCATGATTGGTTTCATGTTGAGAAGTGGCAGAACGCCATTTAAAGGCTGTCTTCTTGCTTCTTACTAATTGCACCAGTTGAAGTTTGGAATCAGTCAAAAAATAATAATAAAATGTTAACCTCATATCACACACTTTGGAGAAATTGGATTGGAGAAAAAGAAGTAAAACAATATACGACAACATAGCGTAAATAACGGTAGGACACTGTAAACAAAACAGTACGTTACTAGCGTCGACTGCCAGTAAATTGCAGTTAATTCACAGTAAAATTTGTGCAGTTTACCAAGTTTATGGTAATATACAGTAATCCATTTTACGGTAACATAGTGTAAAAACCATTTACGTTATTATACCGTAAAATAACAGTAAATTCCTGGCGTCCTTGCTGCCAGTAAAATACCGTTAATTTAGTGTGACATTTTTTAGGGTGTATTAATTGAATAATTGTTTGTATCATACTTTCTAAATGCTACATGCAGCCCCGGTTATAATCTCTACCATACAGACACCTTGAGTAACACGTCTGAAGCAGGAGGTCCATGTTCTAAGCCGCAGTTGCTAAATAGTTACGTTCCGATTTGGCCTTTCAAGCATGCACCCTGGGGAGAGACACGTTTCCCTCGTCTCTCTCTCTCTCCGCTGCGGCTTCCGGTTAGCGAATGTCAGCGTCTCATTATTCTCACAATCAGCAGCGCGCCAATCAGACGGAAAGCAGATGTCTAGATGCTGCATCAGAAGCGACATCCTTCAGTTCGATCTGATCAAACTGTCACCTCTCTGCCGCTCGACGAGAGATCCGTGCAGACTGAGAACAGCTGTTTGAATATGGCGACCCCCCCCACCCCTTCTTTCTCTCCCACAGCAGCACACAGGGAATCATGCAGCAGAGTAGACGGGAGACGTATGCGTGGCGTTGATGAATTAGAGGCCGCTGGCTGAGGGGATCGACACGGCTGAGCTTTAGGTGTTTAAGATGACACACCACATTATCCCCCCCCCCATTCCCCCTTATGTGCTTTTCTATTTTAATTCCTGTCATCGTCACCGCTCAACACACCAAACAAAAAACGCGTGCACACAATTGTGCTCCAGTGCTCAGACTGTGTGTGTGTGTGTGTGTGTCAGCTCGTTTACGGGCATGTGTGTGTGCACATATGCATAGGTGTCTCTCTCGATGTGTGTGTGTGTGTGTGTGTGTGTGTGTGTGGTGCTGTCGATCAGTCTGACAGGTTGGGTGTCGAGGAGGACAGGCTGGCACACACAGAGACGCTGCAGCTCTCTCTTCCAGCGCGTCCTTGCCCGTCCAACCCGGGCTGACAGTGAGCTCCCTCACACATGGCCTGGGCCTCATGCATAATGGAGCAGGGCAAGGAGAGGAAAAACAGGAATAACAACCGCCTGCGTACGTGTGTGTGTGTGTGTGTGTGTGTGTGTGCGCTGGTATTTCACACAGGTGGATGCTCGTGGTACATATCCCAGCCCAGCGACTGACGTTTGTTTACCCTGGTGTGTCTGCGTGTTGTGCGATTAATGCCTTCCTCCTCTCCTCTCTCCTCAGTTAATCCCTCAATTTGTCTTCCTGGCGCTGGGCGTTTCGAGTGCCACCTTCTATCTGATCCGCCTGGCGAGAGGACCCCACGTCACGTAAGACGCTTGTCTGTCTAAACTGGGTGTAAACGTGCGCCTTGCTTTTGACACCTTGAGCATTCGCAGATTCTTACCATGAGCCCGGGAGGAGGGTGTGTCTTCCTTCCTGTGTTAGTCCGCGCGTAATGTGGATGTGAGCAAATATAATTCATTAAATGTCGTTTTAGCGTTCTTCTGAATTTAATAAAATAGGATTTTACAGAGCACACATTGACAAAAGAGTTAAATGTTAAGACAAAGTCAACTTGTGAAAATTCCAATTGCCAACTTTTGGATACAAAAGATGATCAGCTGTACTTTGTATATTTGTATATCTTGAGGGCCACAATTTATTTAACAATATTCTAACAATCTATGAACCTTTTCAGTTAAATAGTGTGCTCGATGAGAAAGCTTCATATTTAAATTAAGTGCATAAAAGACTAATACAAGCATAATTTCTCTTATGCTGCCAATATCATTTTGTTCTCTGCTTCATCCTCAGACAATACGAGTTGTTTGAATTTCTCTTTGAGATGAATTAGATCAGAATTGATCTTCTAAAACAGTGTTGGCCAAATCATCTCTTTGTTTTTGTTTTTTAACTTTAACAGACAATTTGGACAAGGGTCACTTACATTGATGTGAAAATTATAAAAAGCAGAAATGTTACAATTAAAAACATCTTTAACAGCATCCTTGTCCTTGTAACAGACGTTACAAATGAAACAATACAACTTTGATCAGGCACCTGAAATATATTTAGATTCAATAAATGTAAACTCGATGCAGATTTGATGAAATCCAACAAACTCGCCGCCCAATCGAGTGCACTGGATTTTAGAGACAAACAGTGTAAAACAAACAAAGCTACCAGTATTCTACTCGCTCACCCCAGCGGCCGCACTGCGCCGTCCGTGTCCTCCCCGGGGGCCGCACACCACCACTTGTTCCAGGGGGGGGTCAGCCACAAAGCGTGACCTCATCACCGGCTGATGATGAGTGCTGCTGTCTGCGGCTGCTTCTCTCTCACAGGCCGTCTAGTGTCTGCGGTAATGGGGAGAGAGGGAGGGGAGGGGGGGGGGGGGGGACATGCTCGCTCCGCCATCAGTCTCTCTGCCTCTTTGTTTGTGCTTTGGTGGCGTGAAATCCAGACTTTGGTTAATGAAGAGAGAAGCACTGCCGAATCACCTCGTAGTCCCGTCTGTCTTCATCCAACGTGGATGCACCTGATCCGCTCTTACTCGTGTCTTGTGTCTTTTCTCGTCCCTCTGGTTTTGTCCCCGTTCGCAGCCTGTGGAACAAGAAGAACAACCCGGAGCCCTGGAACCAGCTTGACCCGACCTACCAGTACAAGGTGACCTTTGAACCCCCATAACGCACGCCGGCTCACACCTTCAAACCACAGATCACATTGTGAAGCAACATTTATCATCGACGTCCCAAACAAAGTACCCAAATAGATTTGGACCCAACCAACGTTGGCAAAATCACGTCGGATCAACGCGGCTGCGTCTGGTTCCCCTTTTGTTCCGACGGAAAGAAAACAAAGTGTCTCTGAAAAACAAATTGAGGCAGATGGATCCGGGAGATTTAAGTGTTCGGTAATAATGTGCCTTACCTTTCGAAAGAGGCCAAAGCTTCAGACAAACTAATGAAAATATTATCAACGTTGACCCAAAATAGAGCAGAAAAACAACCGACTCCCGAGTCCCAGAAGAGGAGATCTGGCTGATGTGTTTTTCAAAAGAAAGGAGCCCTTTTCCGAGCGTTTCAAGGCTCGACTGCCTGACAGCCGAATGAAAGTCGCTGCAGACGAAAGGTCACGACGCTGCATGTTTAATTCTCGGTAGCGAGGCAAAGGTCTTGCATCAAAATTCCACGGGAGTCCAAACAATGATCGTAATGAGCCAGGGTGGGTGGGGGGGGGGTACTGAGTGTGTTAATGGCGGACCAATCAAGAAAAATACACAGGGGGGAAAAAAAGAAATAAAAAATCACCGCCAGACGCAGAAATGTGTGTTTCTCATGGTTGGAGGGGTGTGATGTATGCAGAACACATGCGCGTTGTCACGCAGTGTTTATATTAGACGGCGCGGATGCAAACTGATGTCCTAAGAAAAAACGCTCAGCAAGACAAAACGTGGAAAGTAAATGAGCTAGAAGGCATCATGGTGAATAAGTGGGTTTGTCTGAGTGTACATCTGCACTCGAGGGTAAAAAAAACCCGTTGCCCCAACCCCAGTGCCCCTCCTCCCCCCACCGTACGCGTTCCCCTAAAGACAGGACTGATGCATTTAATTTAAGCAAAACAGATTTAAATGTATTCCTCCTGCCTCACACAGTTTGTGGCCGTCAACACGGACTACAAGAACCTGAAGAAAGAGGGCCCCGACTTCTAAAAGAAAAAAGGTCCTCCGGGCAACTGCAGGGGCACCAAGTTCAGCCGGACCTCCAGATGCCGCCTCGGCGATCGGAACCAACGGCGTAACCCCGTCAACGGGAAAAATATTAAAGAGTACTTGAGAAAAAGAAAAAGCTTGGTTTCTTCCAATGCACGTAGCTATTATCTACTCGTCACTTTTAATATTTTATCTCTTTGTTCTCTTTTCTTTGCCGACCCCTCGGCGTAGGTGTCAAATGTCATTCTTCTTCATCTTTCTTTAAAACTACATTAATCAATAAAGTGATTTTGTGTTGACCGGACTACATTTATGTGACTGCAAACTGCCAAAACACTGGAACGGTTAATATGCAGTGCAATTCGTGCTGAATAGACGGGAAAGTCGACTGTGTTAACGCGTTGGCGCGTGCAGGTACACGACCAAAATCATGCTTTTAATTTCCAAGGATAAAACATCGTTGACTTATCACATGAAGAATCCAGTAGGACGAGCGAGTCACACATAAAAGTTGCAGATGAAGGGGACCGAAAATAGAGAAATCCATCACGGGAGACGAGTGTCGGCGAGGGTCACGGAGCTCTTTTAAAACGCTTCTCAGTCCCAGAAAGACGCAGCCAGAGGAGAGAAATCACTGGATCTGTTTGATCGCTGCTCCTCGACGAAAAAAAAAGCAAACATTATTTTCACTCACGTATGGAGGCGCAGAAACGACGGAATCCGTTTCTCCGAGTGTGCCTCCTGCTGGCATAATGGTCCCATGTTGGAGGGTTCATTGAATGATGAATGTTTGTGTCTGTGTGCGATTGTGTATAAATGTGTGTATCAGTGGACACCAGACAACAACATAAAATCCTTTTCTAATGGCACACCAACTGTCTCAATGACAGACCCCATGGTTCCCCTAATACACTCCTTAATAGACAATCTATGTTCCAGACCCTGCATGGGCCCATTTATGTGTGTGTGTGTGTGTGTGTGTGTGTGTGCGCGCGCTCTTTTTAAACAGCAATATGCTTCCCGTAACAGTGTGCTGACCTGCCCAGTGGGGATTGTCTGTTGCTCTGGCGGTGATTTGTGTGTGCACATGTGTGTGTTTGTGTTAGATGCACAAAACCTGCTGACAGGTAATCAGCCGGGCCAAAGCGTCACACTGGGGCATAATCACAAGGTCACACACACACACACACACACACATGCGCAGGCGACAGTTATTATCCAACCACAGCAGCTTCCCAGGCCTTGTGTCAGTATCAGTATGAAACCTAAAAAGGCAGAAAGTGAGGCCGGTGTCTCGCTATCAAACAGCTATATTATATTTGTTAATATGACTAATATGACATCGCCTGAACACAAGCTTTTAAAAAAAATGTAATAACATGTTCTGCTTTATCTGCCTTTAAGTAACTCGATCAAGTCACGCCACCTCCCCCAAAAGCTAATAATGCCGCGCTAAAAGACTACACTTATATCTGCCTTCAGCAGCGTGCGTGTCCACAAAGCCACCGAGCCCTTTTTCCAAAAACAGCAAACATCACATGGAACCTCAGCGGGAAAACAAAGTGTGGCCGCGTGTGATCAGCTTCGCAAACACAGTGTTTGTGTTTGTCGTTTCTCTGCGCCGCAAGTGGAAGATGGAGGGGAAGCCCTTTCTGAGATACTGTAACTCGAGCACTTGTCGATTTTGGGGAATGAGAGAGAGGGGGAGAGAGAGAGAGAGAGAGAGAGAGAGAGAGAGAGAGAGAGAGAGAGAGAGGGGCCATCTCCACCCAGATTGCATCCTCTCCGACGATCAAGAGTAGATATTTTTAGATGAGGATTAATTTTAATGGGCGAGATAAGAAGAGAGTCGCGGGTGGAGGAGGGACGAGTAAATAAGTAAATAGGACACGAGGCAGAAAAACAGGAGGCGGCGGTGCGGCGCTGCGGTCGTGTTGGCGGTTTTGCCGCGAAGCCCCGGGCAAATTCACTGATCCAGTGCAGATAGTGAGGCCTTTCATCCTCTAATGATTTCTCCCAGAGGTGCGACTTCAAAAATAAAAAGAGCAAATCTGAGTTAGTCCTAAACCCTAAAAAGGAGCGGCCTCTCGTGGAGCGGAGGTCGTTAGGTTAGATCTCCTTTCGCTGTCCAATTGTAACTAAAGAGTCCATTTAATCCAGTCGTGACGGATTCACTAAACTACAACTATATTTGTTTTTGATAACTTCATTAAAAAAAGGCTAAAACAATCTGCCAGGGTAATCTAAAAAGTAAAACTTATAAATATTGGTGTGAGAGTTCAATTTGAGTTAATTTTATGATCATTATTTTAACATTTTTTTTAGAACAACAACAACAACACTTCATTTCAACAATAGAACAAAATATCCTCTCGATATTTCACCCCAAGTCAGAGTCAGAAGATCAAAACGCTTTGGAGAGTAATTGTGGTAACGTGCCACTGGAACATTGCAATTACAGAGACAAGCTGTGGATATTATGGACACAGATGCCACTGGCGCCGAGGAACCGAAGCCTCGAACAGACGGCAACCCGCTCAGAAGTTAAAAGAATCTAGCAAAGGTTTAAAAAAGGTGCTTTTTACTGCAGAGTTCTACTTCCTGGTTCAGGTGGAAGGAACGTACCTACACATGAAATGATGGGGAAGATATTTGTCTTAACACGCGTTTTTAGTCTGTTTGTTTATGAACTGTAGAACACTGACGAATGATCTTCTATTCATATTGTACGTGTTCATATTAAAATATGATAACTAAAGTAAGAATACTCACTTATATTATTGTTATGACAGATTCCTACTGAACTATCATGTCTACAAGGCAAAGAAAGAACTAGATATCTCATGCTTCACGCACTCTTTACATTCATGCCGTTTTATTCTAAAGGCTTTTCAAAACAAATTATTCTGTAGCTGTCAAATAGAGCAAGAATAAACCAATAACGAAAGGAATGGATTAATACGTTTCAGCTGCTGTAGCATCATGGCGACACGATGCTCTTGTATCCCCGTTTATCCGCGTGATAAGAAGCTGACCAACGCAGATCTCTACACCTCAACGCCAGATGCAGAAAGAAAACAAGCCGCATATCTCCCCGAAAAACACGGCAATGTGCGATGCTGCATCCTGCCTGTACGAACTCCCCAAAGAGCCGGCGGCGTGTTCATAATATACGGCGTGAGGAAAGCGGTGTGTGAAAAGCAGGACAAAGAATTGTGCTGCATTGGCAGTCTGGTTGCTGGAATCCCTCCAAACTTCAGGAGCAAAGAGAGTTTCTATAAAGTTGGAGAGGTGAGAAAAAAAAATGGTTTCAATTACTGGCTCCATGCTGCAGGTATGACAAAATGTTTGCAGAAAATAGGTAGAAAGCATCTCTTTCAGACACACATGCACCATTGCACTGCCTATTACAGTGCACACACACACACACACACACACACACACACACACACACACACACACACACACACACACACACACACACACTTGGAACTGCTAGACAATAAATGGATGAGTAAAATAGTGTCATTAATCCAGCAGTGAAGGAAACTAGAAACTTTCTAGTCTGCACCGTGAATCTAAAACGACTCCACAAGTACAGCTGAAGGTTTAACGCTCTTTTCACGTCATTTTGACCCTTCGTTGACCTCAGATCGCACGCGACTGTGTGAAAAGTGTGTGAAAGAGAAATGCATTGGCATGAATGTATTAATGTATCACGTTGTAGATTTGCTTGGATCACAAACGGGGGCCCTACAGGTGACGGACGTGTCGGCAGAGACGACGTTAAATTAGAAGCGGATCTATGTGAGAATTTACATTTGAAAAAGCAATAAAGGTCTGAAAGCCTGAATACTTTAGAATCTCCATTTCTCTTGTGCCGCCCCACGTTTTGGGACCTGGTGGGATTTCCCATCTTTGCATCTTGTGGAAGAAGAGTGTAGCAGAAGAAGGGGAAACCCCCCCCCCCCGAGGGAGAGCGAGGGGCCTCTTCTTCGTCGCCGGGCCTTTGACCGGCTCTGTTTACCTCCGATGAAGCAGCGCGTTACCAGAATCCACGCGGCGCTATTAGCCGCGGCGGCAAAACAACAGGTGCAGCAGCGTGGCGGGATTAGGACGGGGGGATTAGGATTATGGTGCATGGAGACGACACCTGTTCACACCGAGGAGACGCCACCGGGAGCCCTGTGGTTTCATTACGGGACGATTACAGCGCATTAGTGTGGCTTCGATGTCTAAATATGACTTTGAGCATCGCTACATAAAGCTTTTCCCGGCTATATTTAGAACCCTTTTTCATGTCAACCTGAGCCAGGTATTATTGTGACGGGTATGGAAGTGATAATTGATGCACACTATACTCTGTGACTCACAACACACACACACACACACACACATACACACAGATATGAGGGTGAAGACACATTTCTAATGAACTGCTGACATTGTCATTTATTCATCCCCCTCATTAAACAGACGTGATTTATTGTCACATGAGCTCCAGAGAGAACTGAATTTGATCATGTTTTCATCTGAAACATTGTGTGCGTGTTGTTGTGCGTGTGGAGCAGAGGGGCAGATCAGAGGCTTTGATGAATGACCAACATTATGAGAAAATGTACCAGATGGGGTAATACTGTGTACAATTACGACAATTAGAGCCAAAGAGTACTTTTTCATCGGTTTTTTTCCCGGCTTGTGGACCAATTCATTTCACAGGGAGGTTTTACGATCCGTTCCGCTGCTAAAAGATATCGCTCATCTGTGTCATTTCTGAGGAGAATTCTTTTGTTAACTTTCCCATGGGGGCGAAGAGAAGACGCAATTATGTAAAACGGCCGAGGAAAAAGTGCAAGGGGGCATTAAAATTGCTCCATCCAAGTACATTATGATGCTGCCTGTGTACGTTGCTCGCGTGCTTATTTGCTTACGCGTTGTAGCTTCTTAATGCTGAAAACTTCCCCGTCTCTGGTTTAAGTTTTAGGCCCCAACGCAAAAAACTTGAAGTGGTGTCTTCTTGACAAATCAAGAGGAGTAAAGCAGAGTATGTTAAAATATTAATGAATTACCAATGTGAACAACCCAGAGGTGTGAACTGTCTACAGTCACTGAGGGAAGTGGTCTGACTTCCTCCCAACGTTCAGGTCCAAATGCAAATTCAACAGAGTACAGCAATTATTTACTGCACTAAAATCCACTGACGGCCTTTTACGGATTAGATCCCAAAGGGATGAACCCAAATATGGCAGGAATCTATGTGCTTTCATCAGCAACATCCGAACCCAGCTGCAAAGACTTTACATGCGTTGTTCCACATACGCCCAGACGTGTGTGCATGCATTTTTTTTTTCTCAAACAAACAGAAATCAGTACATGCAACTCAAACAGCCAATACGAGCACTTCACATGCAGCAGCTCGGACACCAGTGAGCGGAGCTCCACCGTTCGAACCAATACCTGAAGTGTTCGAGTCGCTTGTACAGGGCCTAGTTTACACGTCCATAGTCCAGCACTTAGGAAACGGGTAAATCCAATTAATAAAGATTCTGTGAGCTCACACCGAGTCGCAGGAAACACCCATTAATTGATGAAGCATCGCGGTTTAGAATGAATGCAGCTGCAGCGTCAGAGTACGACAAGGAGGTTCACCATCAGATTAACGTTCGTTTGAATCCAACACTTAGCAACGAGACGCCGCCCAGTGCTGCAGTTTTGATGCTTTCTTATAAATAAAAGTGACTAACAGCGTTGGAGGAACTTAACTATCCTTATTTTATAAGCTCATAATCAAATTTGTGTCTAAAATATGTTTTAGTAGAGTAACTAGATGTCAAATCAAGTGCAGAATACGATGCAATATTTCCATTCAGTGGAGCAGATGTATAAAGACAGTTATGTGGGGAAGGATCGGATACTTTAAGGTCTGGTAGGATGTTGTTTCTATATGCAGTACACTTCAAGATAATCAATATACACGACAAATATCAGACACTAAGCCATTCTTCTAATACTCTGCAATGGCTAATATGAACAATGAAAATATGTGATTAGTGATGTGTATAAGTGTCAATAACAAAACAACTTAAGTATGCATTATTGTATTTTATTAGGACCAATTCAATGTTCATAAAATGTTCTGTTAAACAATGTTAATGTAAACTGTATTGAAAGGAAAAAGATTGGCAACATATTGGCGATGATAAACAGATGAATGAACATTGTAGGAAAACACTAATTGGAATAGTTAGACAATGCTTAGTCCGATGTGGAGAACTCGTATGATTTGGTTGATTTTAGAAGCTGCTTTGCGCAAAGAAAGAACGTAACCACAACATTTCTAACACTCTCTTCTCAATAGTTCTCTAAAAACAGGCGTCCTCACTGATGCAGCGATAATGACAACACTTCCACTCCATGAGCTTCACACACACTTTGCTTTTTCTTCTTCAAATCAAGATGAGTCTTAATTTCCATCATTGAACCCCATTGTGAAATAGCAGGCAGACAGAACTATAAATACTTCGTGGTACGAAAGATCAGCTGTAATCGGAGGCTTCAAATTATATATTATATGAAATTATAGCAGTTACATGGTTGATTCTTTCTAAAGAAAACAAAAAGTAAAAATACATTTTCCGTTATTATCTAAGTTTTTTATTTACATTTAATTTTTTTAAAGGGTCGTAAACATTGTTGCTTTACAGGGTTTCAGTTTAAATGGTTGAATGATTAGTCCAACTCATTTGACTTCTACTCCATCGGCTTAGTTTAAAAGGTCTAACTTTCATAAATAATGTTGACAACATTTTGTGTTCATTTCTGATAGTCAAAAAAAAAAAGAAAGTCCAACCATGAATATGAAAAGCCAGCACAGCATTGTAGGGCAGAACGCAGAGACACATTAAGTCTCCCCGTGTACCTGGTTTGGTAAACAGAAAAGGAGGCGATCGCGCCCACATCTCCCCTCATGAATGTAATTAAAACATTAATGACATTAAGACTCTTTACAGCATTAAGACATCTCTGTATCTCATTATAAAAAAAGCTAATTATACACCAATCAAGTCACAGAGTGTGGCCACCGAGAGCTGTTGGTTGTTGTTTGATTTGACATGTTATTTCTTTCTTCTCACACACCCACATTAAAGACTTAAGCAGACAATAAAAATAGGTTATTCAGTTCTACAAAATCTTACATTTTATTGTTTCTTTAAACCAGAGAATCCATTTTTTTTAACATTAACAATTTGTAAAAAATACAGGTTCTCCAGATGTTAATTGGGGGGAGGGTCACTCCACTTTCACAGGCAGCAACCGCATTTCACTATTGTCACATTTTGCGTCTCCTTTCGCGCCACCTGGCCGTTATGGCCCCGCCCACTCGACGTGGCTTGTTTAATGGTCGTGGAAGCCGGGCATGGGGAAGGGCCTCGCGAAGGCTTCGACGCGATGGCGCAGGTCGGCAATGCGAGCCACGGTCTCCGGGTCCTGGAGAAGGAAGTCCTTGAAGTCCTGGAGCTTTCCTAAAAAGAGGACAGCAGGAGGAGAACGAGACGGATCAGCTTTCCCGTTTAAACATTAAGCCTCCCTTGTTACATCACCACTTGGCTTTTGGCGTCAGCTTGTGTTTCCTCAACCAACAATTTAAAATCACATTTAGCATATTGTACTTTTGTTACCTCTCTAATAGATACATAGTTTAAAAAACTGCTACATTGCCGCCGGTCTCCCCTCTCACGGCAGACTCACCGGTCTTCTTCTTGACATCCAAGGCGATCTTGAAGCCTTCATCCATGAGCTCGACGACGCGCACAAAGTCAGCTTCTTTGAACTGCCTGGACGTCAGGGCCGGAGCACCTGGGACGGAGAAGAACACAAAACCTGCCGCTTGAAACAGCGTTGTGACTGGTAATCGTTTCCTTCTGCAATGTTTAACTGCCTCTAATACATTTACCAGCATTTTATCCTATTTAGGAACCATATGGTCTTTGGGGGAGGAAGAAAAAAAAAAAAGTGGTAGCCTGAAGCTTCTTGAAATATCAAATAGCAATAAATCCACAGACTCCAGAAGGGTCAAAACGAGCGAGACTGATGGGTCGCTACGGCGCGGACCAAATCAAATAAAGCACTGAGGAGGTAATAAGTGCAGTTTCTCGCCTTAAGACAATGCTAAAAATGCGGCAGTGTAGATGTGGAGCTCCTGAACTTCCTGGAAGATGATTAAAAACTCAAACACGCTTAATTAATCATGATCTGCTCAGTGCTCGTGGCTTAATTGCTGGCTGACTAATTTCCATATGCACAAATACATTTTTTTCTTTTTTAAGTGAGTGAAACTAAAATGAAGTGAAGATGCTTATTGAAAAGTGAATTCAACCAAAAGAACATTCCACCATATGTTTGAATTCTGATGACAGAATGCTGAATTGCTGACAATCATATTAAGACAGATAATCTTCAATTTTTTTAATATACAAATAATTTCAGGATATGTGGTCCGAGTGCAGCTGCTGCTTACCCAGCCTGAGGCCCCCGGGAGTCAGGGCGCTCTTGTCCCCGGGGCAGGTGTTCTTATTGGCGGTGATTGACGCGAGCTCCAGCACCCTCTCGGCCCGAGCACCGTCGATGCCCTTAGGCCGCAGATCAACGAGGACCAGGTGGTTGTCGGTCCCATCTGAAACATTCAGCGTTCGCAGTGAAAACCGTTGAATAAGACAAGAGTCCAAACCATTGTGGGCACAAGCCCCCCCTTTTAAAGCCTTTGCTCAGACCACCGGGACATTAGAGTTACACAGGTGAGGTAACGCCACTCGATTTGTGAAACCAGGTAACCATGACGACAACGTATCGTGAGGTAAAGTTTGTCAGGGCGTCCGATGCTTCACCGTTATTCTGCATTTGTCGGCATACCGGCTTTACTTTTATCTGAACACAGTTTATGTTAAATGTTTGCTGCATATCCAGTATATGGATCGGTTTTACTGAGCCCAACGCAACATTTCTGAGGCTGCAGCTTAGCAGAATATTACAACCGTCACGTAGGTAGTGTGGTGGAAATAAGTGGATAATGTCCTTGTGAAGAATGAAAGGTGTCTTAAACGTGTTTGTGATTAAGCATTTATTACTAACTAAATCATAAATGGAACAGAAATCATCAAAACAAGTTTGGTGACTCAAATCAGCAGAAAGGGGACAGAGTGTTCCTTCTGCCTCACGGGAGCAGAAAGATGTGACCGCGCTTCTTGGTGCAAGAGAAGCTTTAATGCACATTAGAGAAGTTTGTGTTGTCCAATCAGAAAGACACGCATGCACAAAGGGACTCGGGTAGGAAGCAGATGTTGAGCCCATCCCCAATAAGACAATAAATAAATCAATAAAAGAACACGTGGGTTCGAGCTGTAAAAACAAACTAGTTTAGCTCAAAGGTCACAAGTTCCTGAGAGACGCCGTGTGCAGGTAGTACTGTTGTATTAAACTGCATCGAGTTAAGTAATGTGCTTTTAGTTGGACAGAAAACTGTGTGTATATAAAGAAATAAATACATTTGACTCCAGCTGTCTATGTAACAAACTTAAGTACACACTCCTTTTTACAAGTTTCCTGTCGACATTCACAGAAACATCTATAAAAGGGATTGAAAAAAGGAGCTCGCACACAATGCAGGAGGCACAGGACACGATTGTATTTTCTCGGGTATCTTGAAGGCTATACATCAAAAAAAAAAAAGAGCTGAGGCCAGCGGATTAAATGATTACAAGATTCAAGCATTTGCTCACAAGCAGAAAGTGACCACTTTCATCAGCTTTTCCTTCCGTGACTGGCAGCTGCGCTCTGCATTTGCCCATTTGCACGTTGCGAATTTAAATAACCCCTTTTCCCCCGGTCATGTAATTTGCCTTTTGTGACAGGACATCGCTCTTCATTGACGGTGTTTTTTGTTCTGCCGTTTGCTGAGCCAGTGTCTCCGTGCGAGTTACAGAGGAAACAATGGTTTAATACAAGTTTGATTACCTGATACCAGGGTGTAGCCTTTGCTGAGAAGAGCTGCAGCCATGGACTTGGCGTTCCTTAGTACTTGGGAGATATACTCCTTGAACAAGGGCGACTGGGCCTGGACACACACAGGTTCAACATGAGAGAAGGACTGAAGTTAAGGGTTTGCTTTTCTTCCAGCCAGGGGCCAGAAATTATAATCAGATATCAAGAAAACAATCACATCCTGCTGTGCTGACTGTTCCATCCTCTTTACTGGATTCCATCCAAAAAGATCTCTCGCACAGCATTAAGATCCAGATAGTTCACACTTGAAGACATGCAACAGACGGAATCTCATGGAACAAGCTCCTTCGTCAAGCACAACACGGTAAGATTTAGTTTCTCCCGTTAGTAAAAGCGTTACGTCAGTAGCGATGCCGTTTCAGTGGAGATAGCGAGCCAGTGTGTTATGCTGACCTGTTTGAGTGCCACAGCCACACCAGCGATGGCGTGATTATGTGGTCCACCTTGCAGGGAGGGGAACACAGAGAAGTTGACCTTGTCCTCGAGGTCGTACATGATCTCCTTCCCCTTCTTGTCCACTGAGCGAACACCCTTGCGATAGAAGATGAGGCCGGCCCTGAACAGAACAGACTAATTACCGGACCAAAGCATTTTCATCGGCCATCTCATTAGAAGGGAATCAAAAACCATCACAGGTGCCATTAATGGAAATATAGCAAACTCCTAAGATGCTGCGGTTTGAATGACATTTTAAAGGGTCATGTCTTATTCTCACCGGACTCCTCGGAGGGATTTGTGCGTGGTGGAGGTGACCAGGTCCGCGTGGTCAAAGGGGGAGGGGACGGCTGCGGCTGCCACCAGGCCGCTGATGTGGGCCATATCAGCAAGCATGTAGGCCTTGATGTCAGTGCACAGCTGAGGGTGAAGGAGGGAAGAAACAAATGCATTCAATCAAAATTATATTTACGCCTTTTCTAAATCTTTAAACCATAAACGTAGTCATCCGTCATTACGGCAGTAGTCTGAAGTGTACGACCTCTTTGACACTTCCAAACGGTTTACTTCTTTCGGGGGGAACCAGTCGGATCCTTTACAAGTGAAACTGCTGTTTCGCTGGACTGAAGTAACATTTCCGTATTTGCCCACGAACCATTTGCGCCAAATATCAAATGGCAAATCTGGAGCAGAGAAAAAATGTAAACTGACCAATATAACTATGTATATTTATGCATGAATTATTGCCGGCAGAGTTCTACCAGAGACCAGTATAGTTATTGTAAACACTACAAATCTAAATGTGCCTCAATCTGTGTCATCAGTGCCCCAACTGTGCCGCACATTGTATTTAACAGGGCTCAGTCAAATAGTAATATTAAAAAGGTCTGAAATATCTTGATGCGAACACATTTAAATGTTACCCTGGTTACGCTTTTAATGGTAACTCAACATCCATGAGCAGCAGCTGTGTTCTCAAGGGGAAGATATTTCAAGGAGGCGCTGCTTTTATTACTCCTCGGCAGTCTTCAGGTCTGAAATATTACAGTGTAATTCAATAAATCCTTTCAGTCTCTTGCTGGCCTTCATTTGAAAAGCAAAAACAATAAATATCCCGTTAACTTGAATATGACTCACTGGCGAATGATCAGGGCAGTAAACCATGTTTTGAGTGTTCCAATTAATATCCACTATCATGACAATCTTCCTATCCCCTCGTATCTGAACTGGATTAGCACATGTTTATTAGAGGGAGCATGGACAGCGGGGTCACTGGGGGGGGGGGTCGAGAACTCAAGGGGCTGATGTGCAATAGCTGATGAACGGCAATAATGAAATAAATCTAAAAAAGGCAGCTTAAATCTAGGTAACGACACTGAAAATCTGGAGAGGAGCCCGGCTCGGCAGATTCGGCCATAAAACAGTAAACGGTTCCACAGAGAAATGCCAAGCCAAAAATATGGCCCCACTTCAAGCCTAGTGGCAAAGCGGTTATGGTGCTTAATAAAAACACACAGCGGCGTAATGACGGGACTCTCCATCTGACAGCACCAGCTAAAGTGGGGCTCCGCAGCAACAAAAGGGGAAGCAGTCATGGAGTGAATGAAGTGAATCAGCGGGTGGGTGAAACAAAACAGACGAAAAAGGGGCCTCTTGTGCGCCGCCAGAGAGAGCAGTGAAGTGTGCCGTTAAAAAGTTAGCTGCCTTGCACGTGCGAGTCCGCGCGAGTGTACGGCGCTCGGTTCGGATGAGTGGGCAACAGAAAGTGTGCGTTGTGAGGACAAACCGACAGCAGAATTTGGTCGGCGTTGGCGGTCTCAGACAAAGGAATCAGTGAAGATTTGGTTTGTATTGATCCTCACCAGCTAAGAGGAGCAGGTGTGTGTGTGTGTCACAGTTCAGAGGAAAAGGTTGACTGACTTTAAGACAAGAGGAACAAGAGGCTCTGACCTTCATATTGCTGAATGAGAGAAGAGGCAGCAGGAGAGGATGAGGTAGAGCAACGCACACACACCTTCTTGATGCGGGCGTAGTCAATGAGGCGGGCGTAGGCGCTGGTGCCAGCGATGATGAGCTTGGGCCTGAACAGCTTGGCCGTCATTTCCATCTGGTCGTAGTCTATGAGTCCGGTTGTCGTCTGTGGAGACATGAAGAGGGACACCGATTGAGAGAGAAGAAATGGAGGATGAACGTGAGAATATTAAGGAGAGTTGAGGTCAGGAGGAGAAAAAAAACAAAAGGACAAAGGGATGAGGAAAAAGTTGTCAGATGAAGAGCAAACATATCAACACAAAATAGGTTGTTTTTTTCTCCCCATTAAGAGCAGCGGCTGCAAAGTACTTTGGCTGCCTTAAAAAGGGGAAGGAAGTCATCAAGGGGAACATTTCTACCCATCGCATCAATGGAGAAGATTGAGCAATTGCAGAAATGCATCCCTACTTATCCTAATTCAGCCTTTCAGGGACCTACTCGGCAGGATGAGGCTGAGCAGATCAGAGGTTCTGCCCTTTTTTTTATTGAAATAAGAAATTTGAGATATGTTAGACACTCCATTATCTGGGGGTCGAAGATCTGAGTCACATGAAATGTTGTTGGGGCGAATGAAAAGCGCGTCCTGCGCCTGAACCTCCAGCTCCCACAGTCCACTCCTTCTCCCAAGCATCAGAGAAGACCGTACGGGGAGACAAAGACGGCAGGAAAACAGTGGGAGACAGAAAGGATGGAAAATAAGAGACACGGACAAGAAAGAAAAAAAAAAAAAGAAGGGATGGAAAGCTTTATTTAGACAACCTGATAATCTCCCATCTCCAGAGCACATCTACGGATGCCCCCTCACTCCATCAAGCTGCTCATTGTGAAGACAGAGCCAGTGGTGCTGGCCAGCCTGTCGATTTCCCATTATCTCTCTCGCAGAGGGGTCCCGCCTGCCCATACATCAGCAGGTCTGGACACGGAGACTGTCGCGGCCATCCATCAGCCGCTGCGAACCCCACCACACAACGGTGACCCCACCCACCCCCACCCCGCCGGATAAAACACGATGCGCCCATGTCTGTGGTAGGCTGGTTCTACAGATTTCAATGCCGGTGGAAGCAAAGTATTCCTGAGGTTTGTCCACAAATGCCGGCGCAATTTCCAACCGACTGAAAAACTGAGTCAGAGAGAGGATCAATAATACAACTGAAGGATTGTACGGAGCGCTGCAGCACAACAAGCAGCGCTCTGCACGGGCGAGCTTTACACATCCGAGAGGCCTGAAGGCTCAAACACACGTGGGCCGTTTCATGCGCTGGTCGGTTTATAAGCCGACGGACTCGGAATAAGGAAATGGGATAGGAAAACATAACATGCCTAATACATTAGGCATTGTTTTTAAATAGGAAATATGATCAAACCTGGGCTGTTTACTTACATTTAGCTTGTAGGGCATGGACTCAAAATAGATTGAGGTTGCAGAGATCCTCTTCACGTCGGACATGTAGCCATGAGTCAGACTGGGGTGAGAAAGAGCAAAGCGTCAGCGGTCAGAAAAAGACAAAACAAACAAACAGACAGCAACACAAAGTTTCCTGAGCTGGAAACCAATTGGATGTTTTTTTTTTTTTTTTTAGGTGCAGAGGCTGCATTGTGAGGAAGAGACTACAGGTGGAGAACAAAGAGGAAAGCGGTGGGCGACCACTCACTGTCCTCCGTCGGGCAGGTCCAGGCCCATGATGCGGTCGTGCGGTTTGAGCACCGCCGTGTAGACGGCAAAGTTAGCGGGGGAACCAGAGTACGGCTGGACGTTGACCCCCCACAGAGCCGGGTCCAGGTTAAAGGAGTCCAGGGCGCGCTTCTGGCACAGCAGCTCGATTTGATCCACCACCTCCGCTCCACCGTAGTATCTGAGGGAGACGCCACCGGGCCATTTAGTGAGAGATGCAGCGCACGCAGATGACAACCTGAATTAAGCTCTAATGAGAGTCAAGTGGGGGTTTTTGGCCACTTGGGGGCAGCAATAAAAAAAATAATTAAAAACCGTGTGTGTTTTTTAATTTTTTTTTTATTGTCATCACCTTTTTAACTTGTTAGTTAGCGATTTATACATTTAGCCACTTCTGTGTAATATCATCATTCAGTTTAGAGTCCTGATTTTATTTCAAAGAGTCACCAACTGCAAAAATATTGTATAGCTTAACTTTGATTATGTGAATAGTGTTAAAAGAGGCCTTAATGAAAGCTTTGAACGTTTGAAGTAAAGTTCTAGTGGCCTAGCATAAATAGCTTATAATGTTATATGCTCATTATTCATGTTTTTTACCGCTTACATTTTTCCATTTTCCTCACAGACCAGAAGCAAACGCTCTGATCCAAGTGTTTCAATTTAGACCAACGTCAGCCCCAGAAACCATCCCAGCAAATTGGGGGACATCTCAGGTGAGAACGCTCAAACCTTTCCAGTTACAGATGAATGAGCAACTGATGGCTACTTTACAAACCACTCACTCTGAGAGATCATCCTTTTGTTTCAGTGCATTTAAGTGCAAACAGCAGATGAGTAGGATGTGGGGGTGGACACACACAAATATCAAAAGCATCCAGTGCAAGGGACATTCACGGTAGACTTGTATTCCAGGAATCAAAAGGCATCAGAAGAGAAGCCGTCTAAAATCAGGTCAGCGCTCTATTTGCGACTGATAATTGTGAATTAACAGAAGAAAATATGGAAACTGCCGGCCGGACACTGAATTCTTCATGAATTGTACTTGGCAAAGAAGTCGCTGTGGGTTATTGACTTGGTATGCTCCATTATAACACTGTATAAACCATGCATGTGTCTGTGTGCGCGCTTGAATGTAACGAATACCCTGAAGCAGAGAACACCACGAGGGTTCGTTGGGTGTGGCTGCATAAAGGCGCTCACCTTCTCCCTGGGTATCCTTCAGAGTATTTGTTGTTCAGACAGGAGCCCTGAGCCTCCAGAGCCGCTCGACTGCAGAAATTCTGCGTGGTGAGAACACACAAAAAAGCAAACACACACAGATCAATGTCTGCAATGGACAGAAGGGACAAGGACGGCAAATTAAAGTCCGTTAAGTGATAGTGAGAAATCCCCCTCCAGCCAAAGGCAATCATTACAGTATCGAACCTGTGGACTTCCATGGACTAACACTCCGCACTTCACGATGCTTATCGCCTCGCTGCTGAGGACACAAGATAACGTGATAAACTTTTATACACATGCAGAGATTAACTGGTGATGCCTTTTTTCTAAAAACATTTTTCAACAGAAGAAACACACTTTTGCATGTCTGGTTTGTTTCTAATTGTTCTCATATTTGGTCTACGTCCTGATTAAAAGACAAGTTAAAAATGTATCTTTAAAATAGAATATCAGTCACTTTTGCGCTCACTAACAAATGTGACTAGCCTGATATACAAAAAAAAAAAAAATCCTCCATTGTATTGGACCTCTATATATATATATATATATATATATATTAGATTCCCTATGTTAAGACAATTTAATTTAATTCAATTTAATTTCAGATATACGTAAACATTTTGGTTGACAAATTATTTTTTTTTAAACTTGGTTGTGGCTTTACAAATGTTCAATATGTGATAAGTGGGATTTTTTAGGGTGTTATAAAAATATTTATAGAGACATTACATGGCAGATGTGAGGTCCTGTATATGCATGTGGGGATTGATAACATTGTATTCAATATTACAAATCGTATCAGAATTATGTTCAAAACTCAATCTGTGACCAGCCGGTTTGAGAAATCAGCTGTGACAACTTCCTGCTCATCTTGTACCCCACTGATCCGTGTCAGATACCCATCTTTAAAATGTGGAGGAGGTAAAGTGTTGCCGTTAGTAGAAACGTGTTTTGCGCATACTGGAGAAAATGCAGAAAAGTTATTCAACCAGTCTCAAAATGTTGCTGCAGCAACCGATCCGCGTGTCAGCCTTCTTCTCTCCTCGTCACAAGATTATTCTACAAATGTGTATGGCAGATTTGTCAGATTATGCTAAATATCGGCCTCCTGTAAGCAGCTATGCGTGTGAAGAACATATATACAAATATGCTATAAATAACAGGCCACGTTTCAATGCATCCAACCCCATTGGACTCTTGCTTTTAAATGATACCGACCTGCTCAAATGCATTTGGAGTGACCACATGCTGCCCTGACTCCATTGTAACAGTAAGTAACCATGGAAACCTCTTTTGGTACGGGCCACTGACACAACACTCCTTCTGTTTATTACCACACACAAGTGTGTCTGTGTGTGTGTGGTGTTATGCTAATGCTTGACCTAGAAGCCAAGAGGAGACCAAGAGAGATAACAGCTGCAATAAAAGCTTGGCTGCGTCTGTCCGTCACGCAGAAAACTCTGCATATATTTTAAAAGGAAATACATTTACTTCTCACTGTGCGTGTGTGTGTGTGTGTATCTTTTCCTTAAAGCAATGCCTTCCTGAGTGGTTACTGTGGTGCGCCTTCGCAGAGTGAGGTGGGGAGGAGGCAGAATGAAGATATCAGCTGTATCTTACAGCAGCGAGTGGGCCGGTGTACTCAACTGAATAACTAGCGTGGCAGAGGAGAAACACACAGAGAGAAAGAACAACACAAGATAAAACCTCTTCTGCTCTTTTGAAGAGTAAGTATTTTTCATTTCACACCATCCAGCTTCAGAATGGAAACAAAGAGGAACCCACATCTAAAGATTTGGCTCATAAAAAGTACTGCATGATGTGAGCTTTTTCACTATTTAGAAACATACATTGATACATTTGAATAACATGAATTAATTTTAATGATATCTGCTTGATATACAGGATTGTTTCTCTGTCATAGAAGGCCCCCTAAACGTTAAAAAAAGAACAAACATTTTAGTGCTTTGAGAACATACAACAGGGTGATGCATTCTGAATAAACTCAAAGAATGAACACACTTGCAGTGCATGTATTTCAACATATCATTTGGTACTGGATGCGCTGTGCCTAATGCGTGTACAGACTGAGCCCTGATGAACCACCAGTAAGGGATTTTCTATCACTGCTGCCAGCAGTGTTTTGGATAACAGAGCAAACTCGATCAGAAGAATATGGCACAGCCTTTGTTTTGCATTAAAGGCTGACTGACTGAAAAAAATATACTCCTTTGTTATTCAAAGTTATCTGCTAGCACGTGAACTCCGTGCCGTTCAAAGACATCTACAGCATCCCGCCCCTCCGTTAGCGGCTCCATCAAGTCGAATGTACGTAACCGGTCGCCGACGTCAAGCGAGGGGTCTCACCTCCGACGCAATGAGCTCCAGTCCGCGGCACTGCCGGTCCTTCTCCTTCAGCAGCAGATCCCACATCTCGGGGTCGTCCTCCGCCAGGCTCTCGTGGCCCGTCCACGGACGATCTTCATCCACCATCCGGGGGGAGGCGGCCTGGGACTGCTGGCCACGCACAGCGAGACGGACCGGGGCTCGTTGGCACAGCGGCTGTGGGCATGAAAGATGGAAGGTTTGGCATGATTAGAGAGCGGGAGAAGGATCAATCTAAAGCAAGATAACAGGCGGTTATTGTGACCACAGTTTGGGGAGATGTTTCTTTTTTTATCCTCCAGATTTGCCCATTTAAAACAAAAACCACTTTGCTGCAAATTGCCATTGCTTTGATGAAAGTGTGGTAACGGAAATGTTGCAGCCACAAAATGAGAAACATTCAAAATGTGGCTGTGTGGAAAAGAATAGGATGCAATTTAGATTTTAAATGATACCCATTATGTTGCTAAGGATACGACTTTTGTCCAATTTTACTTACCGTCAGCTGTGGGATTAAAGAACACTGCAACAGGAAATAATAAGGGGCCCATAGAGAATGTTTATGCTGTATTTTTTTTTTTTTAAAGCGCTCTTTTTATCCATGAAGATTAAAGTAGCTGGGGCTACACCCATAAAGAGTGGGCAGAACGTAATTGAGCGATGTTACACGGGGCAATAGTTTTCAACACGGTCCAATTGATAATTTAGTTATTTTAAGTAACACCCTGATTTATCGTATATAAAAGGAGACATTTCAAGTCCCCTCCTCTGTTCCTCCACTCAAGCTCGGCATAATTAGAAAACTGGAGTGTTTGCATGATATCAATAATCAGTGTGGTTGTTCAATTATGCCTCTATCAGCACTTCTACAAACTGGGGGAACCGACTTTTACGGCCCCAGTGTGCCGAAGGAGGCACACAGAGAACAGATTCAGCACTTCCTGCTTATCTAATCTGGACTGGGGCCGGCGAGTTCTGCTGCTGCTGCAATGCCGGATCACGTGAGTGGGCGGAGTCCACACCAATTTCCACAGTCTCTTATTTTAAAAGCTCAACAAGAACCCGATATTGGCTTCCACCCCGATTCTTGGGTGCTCTGCATGTGATGAAATAGTCAAATACTAAAATGTCTGGCTTGGTATTGCATACGGTAGATATCTTCCATTAGGTGATATAAAAACTTAAATAAGCGTATTTTAGCGGTACTTTGTGCTTCAGTTCCTTTGTCGACATACAAAAGAACCCCCCCCCCCCCCCCCACCTTGACAGGTCGATAGCATTTAGCAATACAGTGGCTCACTCCCGACATTTAATCAACAATATGAGGACTCTGTGTTGAGATCAATCCCACCACTGCCAACCCATAGTTATCATCTGTACAGGTGGGCTGGGGTGTGAGGGACAACCTCCCTTTAATAGCGCCATTAAAAAGCAATTAACACAATGCTCAGCGTCGGATGAGGACACCCAGAATACAAAAAAGAAGAGAAAGAAGCTGTACACGCGGATTCCATAAGGCGTAAGACATGTCTGGGTACTTTTTGCAGCTTTATGGCACCGTTAATCTAGTAAAGAAAACAACTTTAGGGGTTTTTTTGACAGATTTTAAAGAGAAAAAATGTTTAATGCTGGGAAAAAATAAAAGCAATTTGACCAACCGTGATGTTATAATTCAACCTTTTTTGTAAAAAGAAACACTTTATCCTAAGAAACACCTTGCAGATAGTTTATCTACGCCATCGCTCTTGGGCCCAATCCTCTCTACTCCGCCTCCTCATCTGCTCCCTGGGGGGGGGCCAGAGGGAGCGGTGGGCAACGCATCCAGGGAGCCAACCTGCACATTAATGGCCGATCTCCAGCAGTTTCCATTCTGGCCTTCTGTCACCAGCGGCGGTGTCGTTGGTGGAAAAGGAGGGAGGAGGTTCTGGAGGGGACGGAGGCCCGGGGAGACGGGTCGGGCCGCCTTTGAGGAAGAGTTTCTCGCTGAGGAATCACACGGGTCATTAAATCTTGACGGGAACTGTCCTTCGCTGTCTGCACTTCTGCTGCGGCGCACCGAGGCTCTGGAACGCAGCGGCAGAAACACCCGACAGAAGCCAACACTTCCAGACAGACACGGGTAACTTCCCACCCCCCTCCTTCGTCCCAGCTTTCCTTTCCCCGCCCTCATCCTGTCACTCAAAGCACGCTCAGCCAAGTCGCACTCATGTGGCATTTATATTAGTCCCCCCCGTCGTCGTCGTTGCCATCACATCCACGGCGTCCAAACGCGCGGAGCTTAAACCAACACGCGGGTCGGTCCCGGCGGTCGGCCTCATCTCGGAAGATTAATTAATAAAACACAAGATAAACCGATCCAAGGAAAAGTGAGAGCCGGCGTAGAGGCACTGAACATGTCACAGCCGGGCTATTTTTAGGCGGCAGACGACGCCGCCGTTTGAAGGTGAGCGCGATGAAGACTTGCAGGGGAGAAAAGGGGCGGGAAGGGCCACGCCGACCTGGGCGGCTCGCACCAGATAACGGCAGTCACAGATGCACTGCGTATGAGTGACAATGATAAAGGTAATGGTTGGCAGTTTGTGTTTCCTGTCAAACATCTGTGTCCACAGACAAAATAGCAGAGGAAGACAAGGGAAGAGAGAAAATCGTTTCATTAATCCCCGGCTCTGTATTATTTTGCCCATTTCCTGAAGCAGCTGATGATGCGGGTCCATTTTACAGATGACTGCTGTCCATCAGCGGCTGCGCCAAACAACAATCAGCCAGGTAACAGAAGCAAAGCAGAAAAAAGGACCAGAGAGGAGACGCTGAAGGGAAAAAAAAAAAAACGACCATATGTAAGGGTTGAGAGACGAAGTGTCAACAGGGCAGCAGCATCCGTCAGCCCGACGGAGCAGTTGCCTCTTTGCCCGTCACTGAGTAATAGCAGGGCCGTCCGTCTGTCTAGATAACAGTAGGCCGAGATATCTGGACGGGGCGCAGAGGCGTGAAGGGACGGAGGCCGAGTCCGCGGCGACGCCACTGTATTCGGGTCAAAGGGTTGTCAAGGAGACAATCGGGAGACAGAAAGCGATGACGGCAACAAAGCCAATCTAGGGGAGGTGTAGGCGGTGGAACGGCACATATGCAGCGATCATTCCCCGGCGCCCGTTGTGGCGATGGAGCTCCACACCGGCCTTCCTGCTGCCTCAGGGAGGCCAGATGCTGGCGTTGTGGGAGAGCGCCTGAGGTCACCTGTGACCACAAGCCTCTCATTATCCCGTCAAGTGCAGGGTTTGTTATATCAAAAATAAATAAATAAATAAATATATATAGAGAACGGATATCCGGAACAAAGAGGAGCCGAGTGCTATTGAGGTTTTTTTGGTTTTGAAAAATCCAACATAAGTTAGATCAGAAAACGACAGCAAAACTATTTGTTTAAATTTAGAGTAGAAAAATACATTTTACCTCAACGAGTATATGGTTGGGTTATACTGATTGCACAAACACCACTCAGCTGGTTAACAACATATAGATGAAAACTAAAACATTCTCCTGTGGTGACTAACTTTTGACAAAAGTTGGAAATGTTCCTGAAAGTCTTTGCCTCAGAACTTCAAACAGAAGCGCGAGGAGTTACGCGGCAAACTCTGCGGGGCAGCAGGTCCGCTCACCACCAAAAAACAAATAAGTTTGAGTACTTTAAGTATTGATTTTGACTACCAAACGATTTATTCATACGGTTCATCCTTAATGACCCAGAGTTACTGCTGGTTTTCCCTTTAGTACACAACACGTCTTAAGATACACAGTTGTTACTTTTCACATTTAACACCAAACATTTTGTCCGGCATCGACATTTGGTAAAAGCCAGAAGACGAGTGGTAGGTTAATAGTTTTTTCTGTCTTTGTGTGTATCGATGCAGGTTTTGTGGTTACATCACAGCATGTTGACTTTCATTCTCGTCTGGCTGCAGCCAGTCAGCTCAGGTCAGACCAGTAAGTTATTATCAAGCAGTAGCAGAAAGGAAACGACCTCTTTCAAATCAGAGTATTCAGCACAGCAGCCCATAAAGTTTGAGATGTTCAAGCATTTCTCTGTCCTGCAATCCTTGCAAACACTATCGTTTCGTTATTTTACGTTTAAACAGTACAGAGATGATGCTGCCTGAGTTTTATCCCTTTCTTAAAAGCAGGAATGAAAACCTCTAAATGAAACCTGGACATTTAAATGCTGCATTGTGTGATATTTACACACAATGCAGCACAACTTCAAAAGTTGATCTTCACTCATTAAAAGCAACAAGAAAAAAAAGCAGAGGGCCTGAGATCTTTCTCTCTCACACAACACACCACACACACTATGAGGCCGTGGCATTCCTGAACTAAAAAAAAGGGTCTTGTGAGTCCTTCTGAAATCTAATAAAGACCCGTAACCGATTACCGCCAATAGGAAAAGCATGCACGCATGCGAATCATTTTAGTGTCTGCTTAATAGGAAACTTCAAACCCGCTGACAGAGACTTGTAAAACTAGGTCTGAATACATGCCACAAAATGTTGGCACCAACGTGCCGTAGCCTAGTTGTTTCCGAGAAACCGCGTGGAATTTGCACCCTCTCCAAAATGGGTCACTTAATAAAAGTTCAAAACTAGGATATTAATAGCCCTAACCCTAACTAACTTCATGTTTCCAACAACGTCACCCTGATGCTTTAACTAACCACGCCGCTTACTTTATAACCTCGTCAAATGATACTGCTTGGTACATTGTTCAAATAACAGGTCATTAAAAATGGTTTTATCAAGTGGGATACAATCATCCTAATAGGGAAACTGAATTAATAAATAAAAAAAGGTTTATATTGCAATGCAGTTCTGTAATTAGGCACAGATGTACAGTTAATTAGTAACCCTGTGCCAAAGTATTTCATTGAAGTATAAAGTCATGTTAACAAACTAGTAATACATATTTGGAGGTTATCATTTTTTATGGATTGCGTTTAGAAAGTGCACCAATTGCAATTGTGCCTTTAAACTGAGCAAGCGTTATACTGAACTTCAAATACATGCAATTAATCTTAATGACGATTGCTTTGACAAACACCGCAAGCACCGGTTACAGAATTGTCTCAAAGCAGAAAGTTAAATATTTCCTCGGTTCTCCCCTCAGTGTACTTCACATTGCACTTTGAACGTTATTATTAGGGGATAACGTTCAAAGTGGATAACAGCATTATCATCACTGCGGCTCGACTCCTCAAAATAAAAGCGAATGTGATTTATGATCTCATTTCATCCAGCTTCACCCAGCTTCCGTCCCTAAACATGTCGTTACATGTGGCGTTGTGGGAGACGCGTGGTGCTCAGCGCTGTTTCTGCCACATGATGAAACTGAGCAGTCGCTGTTGCATCATCACAGCTGCAGCGAATACATAACGTGCACCGAGAGCTAGCCTGCTAGCCTGTCGGCTAACACGCGACCGACATTCCAAATGCGAAATATGAACAACGGTGAACAGATAGCAGGCGTTCGGATGACGCAATCGTGTTACATTTGGGGGGCTTGTTTGCTCACAGGTGGGCAGTATAATACCCCCCACTCCCCCCCAAAACCCCAGGTATCCGTATTGACGTAAAACTAGCTTAACGCTTCCAGCGTACAGTTAACTAACCCAAATCAAACACTCCGTGAATGAAACATTGACAGCGGCCTGAAACAACACACGTACCCGCGTCACTCGTCTCAGGGCGAAGGACAGCATGTTTCCAGTTCTCAAGCCGGGGAAGAAGCAGAGCAGCCAGGCGACACACAGCTGGCGGGCTCCGGACGGGCTGTTTCAAGACGCTGGCCACGTGGGGTTGCGTTTGGCTCACCGAAAGGGCTGTTGGGAAATGTAGGTTTGTTGATAGGAAATTACGCACGCCAGTAGTGCGTTTAATAGTTACACGTACTACTGTAGCTCTCGTTCTTCTTCTTCTTCTCTCTTTTTTTTTTTAGCGGTAGAAGTAATTCAATATTTTACGTAAGTAAAAATAGAAATACCTCTACAATTAAGAGTATCAATTATATATAATTTGTTGAATATTCTGTATCTGAATCTGCAAAGTAAACCTAAACCTGTTTTTAAAGTTATAAAATAAATGTGGTCGATAAAAAAGTAGAACTTTGTTTTCTGTGTAGTGGAGTACAAGTAACCCATCACAAATATTGCTGTAGCCTCAAGAACCAGTCTGTACTTGATAGAACAGAATCTTAGTTAAATGTAGGCATTGTATATTGTTCATTTTCAATATAATTTAATATTCATGCTTACAGCATGACGGAACATATGCAAGCAGTTATCACTTATTCATTATTTTTGGTACGTTTTATTTTTCATTACATACATACTACATTTTTAATTATGCAAGTCTGCATCTGTAAATGTCTAGCAGTCTAGCAACAAGAGGTAGCTTCACACTTTCATGTACTATCATGTAAATGTCTAACCTTTTCTGTTCACCTTGGCATACATTTTGGTGAAAGTGCTGGCAGATACAGATGATTTTTAGGATTTTTTTTTGTTGACGGTTGCTGAAGGCACCACCACCAGGACTACTGGCCCACAAAGCAAGTTGATGAAATCTGGCATAAGAGCTACTGGCTGGACTCGACCAGTCTGGCATGGAGAAAATGAATGAATTAAAGATAACATTTTGGGAAAACATGAAACATTGGGTAAATTAGAAAAAGATGTTCTGAATGTACTATTTTATTTCTGGTTGGTGTTGCTTAGAGATTACACCTTTTCCCCTAAAAGAGGTTGCACAGTTGCAAGTGTTTCAATTATTGCAAACCTCAGTGGATTAAAATGACGGCGTCAGACACACACAAAGAAATACATCAGCATCTGGGAACTCTGCAGAATGTGGGTTGCGGCAACTCCTCCGATCTCCGTGTCCAAACTATCCACAGCAACTTGTGTCTAGCAGTCACATGGACACATGGACTTCCCTAGACCTCTATCTCAATGTAATTGATAAAAAGCATAATACATTATCGAGTCTGAGTGGGAAGAAGATTCAATTAGTGCCGACTATGTTTTCTTATGACATTTCTAGTACCATTATTGCCTGATCAAAAGTGCGGAGAGCAAAAAGCCAAAGAGTTGCAAGGTGGAGGTGCTTAATCTAATCAAGAACCATGTGGGTGAGTTGATAAATGCTTTAAGTTTTTTCTTCTGGCTGCATATTTATTTTTATATAACAATGATGCAACTATCCTATTTCCCTTTTCCATAGGTTTAAATCTTTGAAAAAAAGAAAACAATAATGGCGTAAATATTATATGTAGCCGAGACTATATTATTGGGACCAGTAAAGAAGATTTCGGTAAATTGTGACAAAGCCATCTGGGAGGTGCAATGGAAAAAGGCTCGCTCACATGTGCAGTTCTTCCTTTGTTTGCATCATCAAACAAACAAAATCTGTCAGTCACATTGCCTCCAAAACATTAGTCATTTTTCCTTTCAGTTTCAGGGTGAATGTAATTCAAATTAATCACCTCACTAGGATTCAATTACTTTTCACACCAACTCTCTCAAAAGGAGTTATCATCATTTTAAGAATGTTTCACAGTTGGTTTTCAAGTTGGAATTCAATCCTCCCCTTCAATATGTTTCAGAAAATTTAAATGACATATCTTCACAGAGAGCTTGGACATGCGCTCCCAATCAGAGTGGAATGTAACTTAATTCATAACAGTGTCCTCGCTAAGTTAGATAACATGAATATGCTGCACAGCTTGTGCCCTTTAATTGAGCTTTTGGCTCTGAAAGAAAACATTCACCCAGTAAAAGACAGACAGTTTAAGAGATTTTAATGTGCTTTTTCATACAGTATATTGTATGCATATCCAGCATAGCATTTCTCATACATATAACTCTCTTATATCCAGGAAAAGGTAGAGCTGAGAGGATAATTAACAGTCACTCTACGATAACATTATCTCTGCCATACAGTGATGGCACTGCACGGCCGTCTCCGAGGCTCCCTTTTTACTCAGAGGCCGTGATACTGATTCCAGATGTTTTCAACCGAATTCTCCCACTGCACAAAGTAATAACACTGAGAAACAAATATCTAAAAACAATAAGTGTGCTGAGGTTGAGTACATTATTTACAGGAAAAAAAAACAGACGAAGACAGAGGTTAACAAATACAAAGTTGGAAAATAAGTTAGAGAAATCAGCCATCTCCTAACCATCCATAACTTGATTATACTTGATTTTACGCCACAATTCACAGCAGTTTAGAGGCAAAAAACTGTCCCCTGCTTCTTCATCGTAATCAATATGACTATGATTTCCATCATTATCATTATAATCATCGTCATCGTTTTCACTGTCTCTTTTTCTTTTCCTTTTTTTTTTGTTGCAGTCTCACTCATTTACCCCAAGTAAGGGTGCTCACTTTGGAAGTTGTAGTCCGGACACACTTTTTGCACCAGCTTGTAGTCGATGCTGAAGAAAGAGATGAAGATGCAGATCACTTTGAAGGGTTTGCCACAGAGCCAGCTGGCGTGGGACTGGGTGCTCTCCGTGAAGCAGGTCTGAGAAGGGTCGTACAGGCAGGGTTTGGGCTTCTTGGACCTGTTGGTTTTCTCGTACTCCATCCGACAGTTGAAGGTCTTTGTCTCTTTCGTGTTGCCGGTGGACTGCTGGGTCTCCTGGACCTGGACGTCCTGCTGAGTGTGGGGGTGCAGATGCTGGACAACTTCGAACTCCACCACCTTGGTCGGTGGCACGATACTAACCGACACGTTCCCCAGGCTGGACGAGTTGTGGCGGAAGTAAACGGTGAACGTCCCGTTGATGTGGTCGACGATCTTCCCAGTCACCAACAAGCTGAACTTCATGGTCTTGACATTGAAGAAGAAGTCCCCCCAGCCGAAGATCTTCTTGGTCTTCATGGCTGTCTTTAGTGAGGGCTTGCGCTTGGAGCGGTACCCTGTCTGGTCCAGGACCAGAGACTGGTTCCGGGCCGAGTCGTACGGGTTGAAGTAGCTGTAGGTGGGCGGCTTGGATTTCATGGCCGTCTGGTCAATGGAGGTGGAGAAGATACGGGTTTGGTACGGCGGTTTAACCACTCCCCCTGTTGATCCTCCCACTGTGCCCCCACCCATGCCGTACGGAAGCGTCTTCATCACCGACCCCACTGGGCTCAGTTCTGAGAACTTCACCTGCTTCTCCAACCCTTGGACCTTAAGAAAAGAAACGCAAAAGAACAAGAAGAAAAGTTTATTTCAACAGGCCAAAGTAAGTTTTCACATAATCCGCAGAACAAAAAGCAGCAGTTTTAGTTTAGTCTCTACTTAAATGTGTTATAAACTCTAACCTATAAAATACAGTCACAGTGCAGATTTACGTAGCAGTTTAGGGCTCTGCACCTATGTCATGCCAGTCCTGGCAAGGCCAGAATTGTCTGCTCTCAGTATTGGGAGTTGAATCAGCAACCTACTATCATCATCATCATCATCATCATCATCATCATCATCAGTTATCACACGTCCTTTCTTTTCAAAATGTACCTTAAATTTGATCTATAATAAAAAGAAAAGAATGTTCTAATCACAGACATTATCATAATCGGAAGTGATTTAGGTCAGTCCTCCTTTTACCTCACATGGTATTTACTTCCCCGAGCATCCCAGTTGTTGCAAGTCTTGCATTTCATCTCTTGCATTCAACAAAACAAAAACCATCTATTTTTGTTAACACACCTCAATTTAGTTGTCAGCGTTGCAACAGAGATGAAAACATCTCTGCGTGTGAGGTAACGGATGTGAGCCTTTGTTAGCTTAGACAGCTTTCTGCCTTTAATCCACAGTCTAACTGGTTACTCACCGGGCTGATTGACTACAAGTCTTCCTCTACTCTCTTTCATGTCTCATCAATCACATCACTGCCATGCAACCAACCATGTGCCTACACCAGCACACTTTAAGGCGCACACACCGGGGCACACAGACGCGTTCGCAAACATGCAAACTACAAGCTCAAAGCTGTCACGAAGTGACAGGGAGAAGTATTACAGCTATTCGGAGGGGTTACATGTGCTTCCCCTGAGGATGCATTTGGATAGAGTTATAAACTGTTGTAGTGGATAAACAAAGCAAAAAAAAATAAAAATGAAAACAGCATTTCAAAAGAAGTGCAGGATCAGATCTTTGTGTCTTCTCATGCAGGGACAGTTTACTGCTCCCTTCATTCTTATCCAGGGCAGTGCAACCGACAGGTTTGTGCCAAAGCGGTCCTCATCGCTCATCAATCACTGAACCTAATAATAACTCCACAGTGCAGCGCTCAATACAGCTCCTAATGCATTCAGTCATTCAATTAATGTTTCTATGTCTGTCGGCCATTCATTAACATGCCCACAGCGCTGATTTCTAAGTAGATCGATTGAGAAGAAAATAACTGAAAGTTTATTGACGGCTGGAGGACTGAATTACAAAAAAACGACAGGTGTTGATAAACGACCAGCGGGTGGGATAATGACCCGGTGAGGATTTTTTTTAACAGACCTCACCTCCCTTTCGGTGGCATGACAGCAGGCCCCCGCGGAGCGGCCGTGCGATTTTAAGCAGGTGAATTGGGGACGTGAGTCGACTTTGGCGCTGACAGGAAGGAATAAGCCACAGTTGACGGCAGAAAGACACCACGATGTGCAGCAACCAACAGTGTGTACAGTGCAGGCAAGATAGGGACTTCCTGTGAATGCGCTGTCAGCGTTGCTGTCAGCTTGCTCCATGTGTTGCCATCTGTCAGACTAACACTCTGCTGGCGCGGGCCTAATCATTTCTCCTGCTGATGGCAAGGAGCCTGAACTAGCACCATCATCATAATCCTTAACAATATTCAGTGGCAACATCACGCTAGGAACCTCAACCTAACCCTCGGGGTCAACTGCGTGAGGCTCAAAAATGATTTTTCTTAAGGGGTCTGAGGTCGGCACGGGTCTTTTTGAGGGAGGATGGCAACTGTACACAGTCAGCAACTTTAACAAACATCGATTGAATGGAAAAAGATGAGCATGGAGAGAAGGCTTCTTCTTCTGTGTCACAAAAGTAATAAAATGCCAAAAGAGACCAGTGAATACATGGACTTTCTATTAGCATAAATATGTGTTTTTTTGTACTGGACAGTAAATCCATTTAAAGGGTGAGGATTTGTTGGAAGAAATATCAGATGTATTTTTCTTGACAGGAAATCCATACGCTATAGACTTTCTGAAAAGCAGCGGATGTTTGCTATAAGGTCAAATCAGGCGGCCGCAACCGGCAGGAGATTGACGGTTTAGAAAAATACAGCCTCGTACTTTTCATCCTTGTCATCCTCTATTTGGTCAGGTCACAATGAGTTAGAAGTAATGGATGTTGCTGTGGATGATAAAGAGGCTCTGAAGCTATGGTACACTATATTTACACACTAAGCAACTTAACTGGAGAAAACATTTTAGCTGCATACATTCATGTGTTCAACTAAATGTGTTACCGTTATCAATGCATAATGCAATTCCGGCCAAAGCATAGAAATTCCTATGTTTAAAAGTCTTCATTGACTTCATTGACTAGGCTAGAAATGTTAAGGATGTGCTGTACTTAGTGAGTCAAAGCTAAAATGGCCATAACATACAAACAAGTGATTATCATTGAAGGTACTTCTTCATAAAAGTAAGTACTGAATAAATTATAATTACTGTCTATAATTACTCCCGATAAATGGACTGAATGGACAACCCAAAAACATAATGCCTCCAGATGCATAAGGATTTATTCAATGTTATTACACATACATGTTTGTGCCGAATTGAGTGGCAATCCATTCACTTTCACTTGAGACATTGCACTCTAAAGAGAAACAGATGGTGGTTCTATGAGAAAAATCAGGGCATCATGAAGGTCATTTGAATTTATCCTCCAGGGACCAGAAAATTCATTAGAATCCGTCCAGGAGTTGTTGACAACGGCAGCATGACTTTTGTAAAAACAATTAAAGTAGAAGTTGCTCCCCAAAGAAGCTTTAAAACAATGACTTTACCTTCCCAGCCTCTGCTATCACATTCAATGTGACAGACCGAGCACGTCTAACGGGGACGAACCAGCTGAGGGCTGGTTGACTTTTAACTTTTTAATCAACGTGTCTTTAGCGTTTCCTCCATTTAGGAAAGAGATCCCTGTTTGGCAGCATGCGATGGAATAGGCACAGTGGTGGACTTATACATATGTATGTATAGGCAACTCAATAACAGCACAGCCATAGCAAGAACAATCAGATTACAGAGGTTGGGAGATAGAGGGAGATAGTGTAGAAAATGTTATTAGCGGAGAAGTGAGATGAGGAGCGCAGAGAGAGTAAGGAGATCGTGTACATTTTCTTGGAACAGTGAGCATTAATCATCTATAACCTCATTTGGAAGTTCACATGAGCAGAAAAGCATCTTGGGTTGCCGCTTATAGATGGGACGCCTTAAAAAAAACGACTTAGAAGTACATGCAAGAATGAAATGAAGGAGATGTTCGGTGAGGAGATTATGAGTGTAAATCAGAGTCAGTGACACAAAAAAAGTGGACACATGTGCTGGAAGACGGAGAAGGGCTTAGAGGTAGAAAGACAAAAGACAGACTGAGCGCTGGAGGGACTCACACAGGCTTATCAAATAGTAGAGACGGTCACATGAGCTCTGCTGAAACCTGACATATAACATGCCACCACAATTAAGATCTCTTTTCGTCATTAAGAGAGACAGAGAGACAGAAGCTTTCGGATCAATGGCAGCACCTCCGATCTCGCTTCCTTTCTGCTCTCTGTCTGTCGGGTATCGAGATCCTCCGGCGGGGGCAGTTTCGCCCCCCCCCCTCCCACCTCCGTCCATCATTTCCACACCTCGTTGATGGCGAGAGCATTCAGAGGAAATGGACCTCGCTTACCGGCTGCGCAACAAGCATCAGACTTCCCCTCTTCCGCCTCCCGCCCTGCGATCCGTCCCCACAGAAGGACTAATGAAAAAATGAAAGCAGCTTGTCTCCCCCCCTCCTCTCTCTCTCTCTTTCTCTCTCTCTCTCTCCCAGGCTTGTTTCTTTGTTTAATTGGAGTTTTATTGGTGACAATCAATTCATTTCTATCTGTGCTCCAGGCTGCATTGATCGGCTTGTCACAGAGGAGAGTCAAATGTACAGTTCCCCTCCCACCGCTCTGCGAAGGCGAGACTCTGATGCCAGCCACTGACTTTTACTACTTCACTTCTTGTTGTGATTAGAAGCAGAAATGGATTTTGTTCTTTCACATTTTTAAAGTTGACCTCATCGTTTCTTAAGAGGAGTCCGAGAGGCTGCAAACTATTTACAAGCAGTGAGAGAACAGAATACAGGATGAGATGTTGGATGTTAAATCAGTTTTTTCTTCACTCTTTACCTTAAATGCTCCCAAATACCATTAATCTGTTTAAGCTGACGGTGAAAAAGTCTTAAATAAGAAAAAGTTAACTACACTATTGGTATAAGTTGTGTGCTGACCCTGTGGTTGCAATAACTTTAATCTCAACTATATCATTTAAGTTATGATGTTTAGATTTTCAGCGGTGGAAAGTAACAAAGTAGATCTACTCAAGAACTGTCTTTCAAAGGTACGTTTACCTTACTTGAGTATCTCCATTCATGCCAGCTTTCACTTTTTTTAATGCACATTTATAATTAATATAAAATATAATAAATAAATGATGCATTGTTCTAATTCAGCTCTGCCTATAAAAACACTACATGGATGAGCACATTCATGCATCAATATTCTGAATTACATAATGTAATAAATGATTATCCTAAAATTGACTACTTTTTGTACTTTAAGTGGATTTAAAAAGTTGTAACATTTTCAATGATGGACTTTCACTTTTACTAGAGTATTTCCACCCAGTGGTACTACCACTTTTCAGTGCTTCTTCCACCGTAATACTGAAAGCCTTACAGTGACCGGGGGAAAGGAGAATTATTCAGGGAAATCTCCACACGACTTCCTCTTCGTTTTTTTTTTCCCCCCCATGATGCAGTTCAGTTGGCTTCACCGGTCTGTGACGTTGGCGCATGCTGGGGGCAATTCTTTTGCAGCCAAGTGTGAAGCAGATGAGACAAAGGGTCAGCACCTCCAAGTCAATGTCCTGCTGCCCACGAGTGAAGGAATTCAAGTGCCACGGAGTCGCGGCGAC